CTGTATTAAATTTTTCAAAAATAATTGAATTCTTGCAAAAAATTTTATTATTTATAAAAATAATTGAATTATTTCTAAGAAACTTTTATAAAAAAATTTGTAAACAATTGGATTCCTGTGAAAATTTTACTATTTTTGAAAATAATTGAATGTTTGCAACGAATTTTAATAAAAATTTAAAAAATAATAGTTTTTTATAAATAATTGAATTTTTATGATGAATTGTATAAAAATCATTTTAAATAATTGCTTTTTTTCGGAAAATGTTATGAAAATTGTGTTTTAAAATAATTAAATTCCTGTGGGAATTTTTTTATTTATGAAAATAATTGAATGTTTTATTTATGTTTATGTTTAACAATTATTCTCAAAAATTTTAATAAATTTCTCAGAAACAATTTTATAAATATTAATAAAATTCTTTTGAACATTCAATTATTTTCATAAAAAATAACATTTTCGCAAGAATTTAATGATTTGAAAATAATTTAATAAAGTTGTTCGTAAGAATTCAATTATATTTAAATACCTAATAAAATTTTTCTCAGTAATTTAATTATTTTTAAAAATTATAAAAAAAAATTCTTCGTATATGATAAAGCTCTTTATAAAAATATAATCTTGAGAAATATTCAATATTATTCAATTATTGAAGAATTGAATATTTGAAAATTATATAATTGAATTCTTGTGGACCTTTCTAATAAGAATTTATTTAAAATTGAATTTCAGAGAAAATTTTATGTAATAATTGAATATTGGAAGCGTTATTGTGTGAATTTTTAGAAATAATTAAATTTCAAATGATTTTCAAATAGAAATCATTGAAAAATTTAATTGTTGTAAAACTGTAATAACATTAAAATTTTTATTTTGTAATAAAATGATTAAAATTTTGAATAATTTCCAAACATTTTCAAACATTTTTATTCCTATGGCAAAATAAATATTTAATTTTTGTTTTGTCATGTTTTTATTAATATTAATTTTGCTTAATAAATATGAAGAATAAACAGTAAAAAATTTATTGATAGAACTGAATTTTAAAATTTAAATCAAATAGACTTTGCGGAAAACTGAGAATTGATAAAAAAAATACATAAATTGAAGTTATAAAAATATTGAATTTGAAATTATTATTAAAAATTAGCATTTAAAATTTATATTGTTTATATAGTTTGGGAACAATTTAAATTCAAATAATTAAAAATAAAATGAGAACTATAGAATTCAAAAGATTAAAAATTTTTGACGACCGAAGTTCAAAGTCAATTAATAATTTAATTGTAATGGAAGTTTTAAAAAATTAAAATTTATTGAAATATGAGTTAACTAAAAATTGTTCAAAAAAATTTGAATATGACCATTTATATCAAATTCTCAAAATAAATGTCTTCCTTTATTTCTCCCCTGAAAAAAATAATAATCTCGAAATTGATTTTTTTCGTATTCATTTTTTTTAAACAATTTCAGAACTTACCTTTTTTTCTCTTTATATAAATTACCTGAAATTTCAAAAAAATTTATACAGCATTCTTTAAATACCGAAAAGTATTGGTTCTAAGAAATTTTATTTGCTGTAAGAAAAAATTATTTGATTCAAGTAAATATTTGTTTGATAATAAACAAACCATTAGTTACTTGAATCAAATAGCTTTTTTTCATTCTTTTTTTTAATACCATAAAATTAGTTTCTAAAAATAAAAAATCGATTAATTGTTCCTAAAAATTAAAAATTTTAAAAATTAAAAATGTATTCATAAAAAAAATACAATTGCAGATAAAAAAAAGAAAAAAAATTTGAAACGATTATTGAAACAAATTATTAAATTCAATAATAAATTACATCAGATAATATAACAATAAACGTGATATTAGCAATATATATTACAATTCGTAACAATTGAACATTATAGTAATAATAATAATAATAACAAATGTAATTAATTTGACATAATAAAACGTGTATCGCAGTATTAAAGGTGAAAATAGGAAGAGGATTTTGATACAAATATATATATATATATATTTAAACATGTGCTCTTATGAGTGAAAATTTGTCCGGTAGATGATAAATAAATTGATAAATTGGTGGAATTGTAATTGCCGTTGTGCGTGCTATCTGTATTATTAACGTTGAGTCGAATGGATATAATAAATGCGCGCACGTATTATTATTATTATTATCGTCATTATCATCATAGTGTGAAGCTTGCGATCAATTGTGGATGCGAAAAGGGCCAATGTATATTTATATCAACGCGTAACTCGTGGGAAATGCGTCCAATGCCTTTTCCGGTTGATCCAAATTCAGGAAATTGTTCACAATCAAATTGGTGACGTGACTCCTCGCGTCGATGTCTCATTCGAATATTGTCATTTGATTAATGACTTTTTCACTTTTGACAAACATATTTATTTATTTCATTCATTATCTAATTTCCTTAAGTGTTGTTCCTTGATTTTTTTCGCAAAATAGTTATTTTTTGGTTTTTTTATTATTCACTTTAAAATTTTATTTTTATTTTTTTTTCACTTTAAAGTGAACTTTAAAGTGAAAAAATTATTTTATTTTTTCACTTTAAAGTTCATTTTAAAGTGAACTTTAAAATGAAAGAATTATTTTATTTTTTAAAGTGAACTTTAAAATAAAAAAATAAAATTTTAAATTGAACTTTAAAGTGAAAGAAGAAAATAATAATAAAATTTTAAAGTGAACTTTAAAGTGAAAAAATAAAATAAAAATAAAATATTAGAGTGAACTTTAAAGTGAAAAATAAAAATAAAATATCTTGTAAAGTTAATAGATCTAAAATTAATTATTTTATTAATTAATAAACTTTAAAAGAATAAAAAAAAATAAACTTTTTAAATGAACTTTAAAGTGAAAAAATAAAAATAAAATATCTTGTGAAGTTAATAAATCTAAAATTAATTATTTAATAATCTTACAAAGATGATAGATTTAAAAATTAGTAATTAATTTTTTTTTATAAAAAAATGTTTCAATTTCTAAATTGGTGCCATTTATTGAAAAGTTAAAAAATATTTTTATTTCAAAACATGAAAGTAGGAAATTATTTTTATTAATTAAAAAATAAGTTTTAATCACATTTATTTCAAACTACAGGTAGGAAATAACTTTATTAATTAAAAACTGATTTTTAATCATTTTTATTTCAAAAAATAAAAACATGAAGTAAGTATTATTAATTAAAAATTGATTTTCAATCATTTTTATTTCAAAATACGAAAGTGGAAAGTAATTTTGTGTTTTACTATAATTTTTATTTCAAAATATAAAAATATGAAATAAATTCAGTTAATAAAAAATTGATTTTCAATCATTTTTATCTCAAAATATAAAAGTACGAATTTTTTATAAATTGAGAAACAGTGTTTCAATAATTGAAATAATAGAATTCTTTCAACAAATTTTATTAATATTTTCTAAAATCATTGAATTCTTACGAAGAACTTTATTAAATTCGTTTTAAATAATTGAATTTTTCTGAATAATTTTGTAAAAAAATGTTTTAAGTACAATTTAAAATTATACTAAAAATTGTTGAAATCTTGCCATAAGTTATTTATTATTTATAAAAATAATTGCATTCTTGCAACTAATTTTATAAAAATTTTTAAAAATAATTCAATTCCTGAGAAGAATTTCATTATTTATGAAAATAATTGAATTCTTGAAACGAATTTTATTATTTAAAGAAAATAATTGAATTCTTGCGAAGAATTTAATAAAAATCTTTTAAAATAATTGATTTTTTTCGATAAATTTTATGAAAATTGTGTTTATTATTTTGAAAAATTTTATATATAAAAATTGTGTTTTAAATAATTAAATTCCTATGAAATATTTGGTTATTTATAAAAATAATTGAATTATTGCAAAGAAATTTATATAAAATATTATGTAAGTAATTGAAAATTATATAAAAATTAAAAATAATTGAAATCCTCTGATAATTTCTTTAATTTATGAAAATAATTGAATTCTTGCATCGAATTTTATTGTTTATAAAAATAATTGAATTCCTGCAACGAATTTTATTAAAATTTATAAAAATAATTGAATTCTTGCAAAGAATTTTATTTTTTACGAAAATAATTGAATCTCTGTAAAAATTTTATTATTTATGAAAATAATTGAATTTTTGTGAAATTTTTATTATTTTATTAAAATAATTAAATGATTTCGTAAAATTTTATTAATAATAAATAATAACTTTTATAATAACTTAAATAAACAACTTTTATTAATTTAAAATTGAGTTTTAATAATTTTCATTTCAAAAAGAAAAATATGAAGTAACTTTTATTAATTAAAAAATGATTTTTAATCATTTTTATTTCAAGTTACGAAAGCAAGAAATAATTTTTATTAATTAAAAACTGATTTTTAATCATTTTTATTTGAAAAAGTAAAAATATTTAGTAACTTTTATCTATTAAATTTTCATTAATTTTTATTTCAAAATATGAATCTGAGAACTAATTTTTATTTGAAAATATAAAAATATGAAATAACTTCAGTTAATAAAAAATTGATTTTCATTATTTTTTATCTCAAAATATAAAGGTACGAATTTTTTTTGTAATTGAAAAACCATGTTTCAATAATCATAAATAATAAAAAAAAATAAAAAAAAACGAGGGAGAATCAGGTGATGAAAAAAAGCAATCGACAAGACAAATTCGTGTGTATTAATATTTAGTTTCATATATTTTTCACTTAATATTACAATGAGTTATCTATGTATTTACATAAACATACACGTGATAAATATAATTTACAATTGTAATTTACAAAATCGAGAACATTTTTTTTTTTTTTGTTACTTCGAAAAGAAAAAAATTATATTTTTTTATTTTTTAAATAAGCATTCTTATAAAAAGCAATTTACATATAGTTACTAAAATAATTTACATTTTGCTTTGAAAAATTTTTTTTTTCTTTTCATATATAAATAATTTAATTTTTTTTATCTCATCCAATTTTTTGTGGGTAACCCTGCGCATGTATGTCCTCTTTTTTATTAATATTTTTTTTTCTTTTTTTTCAGTTTTTTTTCATGTACTTCTTTTTCACGCCTGAATTGTTAGAAAAGTGTTCTGTAATGAAATTAAAAATTTAATATTATGATTTTATCACACTTAAAATTAATAAATAAATAAATAAAAACTAAGTTATTTCTTTAAAAATTAAGAAAATAAAGAAAAAAAAATGAAAAAATGAGACTGCCAGCAGTCTATTTATTTTAGTAAAAAAAGAAAATTTACTTTTTTTAAACATCAGTCTATCGCTCGAAATTAATAATATTTTATTGCACTTTTCAAAAAACAAATTAATTTTTTCTTTTTGCTTTAGTTAATAATTTAATTGTTAATAATTAATAAATATGAATTGAGTGTTTTGGGTGTGAATGTAATTTAATATTTTTGATACAGTAAACCCTCGGTAAGTGAACTTTTGTTTGGTTTTTACAAGAGAAAAAATTGAGTTTCTTCAATTTTTGAAAAAATGGAAAAGAATCTCAATTTTTAGAATATTTACTTTTTTCATTCGATTTTATTGAAAAAATTCGAATTTTAAGAAAAAAATCTCCTTTTTTAGAGGGAAAAGAATTTAAGAAAAATATAAATTCTTGATAATTATCATAATCGAGGGTTGACTGTTTTCCTCCCGATCCCTGAGTGTTAAATAATTAATATTTATAATATTTATAATTATAATTATAATAATATTTACAATGATTATTATAAACATATTTCCTTTTGATTTTTTAAACCAAAAAACGAACGCTTATCGAGAGGCGACTGTAAATTGAATTACGGAAAAAAGTCACTATTCATTTGCATTATACATATGAGAAACGAATTTTCCAAGTCTTAATATTTAAAATGATTCTGGCAATAGAAAATTTTTCACTCTACATTACCAGGTGATTTACATGTTATTTACATACGTTGAAAAAAATTAATTAAGTTTACTGAAATATTTTACGACTTTTGTTACTTTTTTTTTATTGAATTATAAAATTAAATAATAAATCATTATTATGAAATAATAAATTTATTTATTATTTATTTTAATAAATCATAAATAAGTAATAAATTATTATTATTATTAAATAAGAGTTTACTACTTCGTAATTATTTTGCACTAAATATTAGAATCTATTTTTTTAATGTTTCAGACTTTTTAAATAAAACAACAATTCAATTTTTGTTACAAAATTAAAATAAACAAATAAAATAATTAAATGTCAACAAAATTAATAATGAATTACATTCAATAATATTATTCGCTATTTAAATTGATTTCAATTAAAATAAATTAAATTTAAAATTTTAATTAAATTAAATTTTAATTTTAAATCGAAGGTTAAACTAAGTGTTCATTAAACAAACTCTAAGAAAAAATTTCGTAAAAGAAACGATTTAATAATAATTACGATTCAAATGCGAGAAAAGAAAAAATATTAGTAAAATACTCCAGTGCAATTTTAATTATTCCTTTTCAAATAATCGCTTAATCGTATGATTACAATATTTATGTACAAAATTCACATCACATGTAAATTATTTTTAATAAATTAAAAAAAATGCAATAAATTAGAAAAAAGAAAATAAATTTAAAAAATTGGAATAAATTAAAAAATGCAATAAAAAATTAAGTAAAGAAAAATTTCAATAAATTAGAAAAACTTAAATAAATTAACAAAAAACGATTTCACAACGTTTGAACGTTCAGATGAATGAAATATTTTTCATTTTTCAATATTTTTTTAAATTACCATCGAAAAAAGAAAATTTATTAAAATTAAAAATTTACTTAGTTCAGAATTAATTTTTTTAAACATTGAAAACTTTTTTGCAAAAAAAAAAAATAACAAATTAAAAGAAGTAAATAAATATCGTCATTCATTTGAACGTCCAAAACAAAAATTATCTCTAATACGAAAATAAATGTAAAAAATATCAAAATAAATAGAAAACAAATAAAATATTTAAAAATTCAAAAAGAATCAAAAATACAAAAAACAAAAAAACAAAAAAAATTGTTTTAAAAATGAAAAATTTAATAAAAACTAATTTTTAATTCCTGAGAATAAATAATAAAAAAAATAAAAAATTCGTTTACACATTATTTGACTTATAATAGAAACTAATTATAATAATAATAGTCCTAAATTGAATTAATTCTCGACCTTGCGTAATACTTCCTCAGCCTTAACTCGAAGAATTTCGGCGCTCTGCCTCCTAATTTCATCGTCTGACGAGCCAGAATCATCGTCCCTGTCGTGTTTTGAGCTGAGATTTTGCGCGATACTTTGAACGCCAAGATTAAGGGGATGCGAATGTAATTGTGCACTGAGTGAACGTGTATCGATATTATTGTGATTTAATGATGACGGTGGACTCAGGCCCATTACTGGTAATACTGAACTTAATGTGGCGAGATTTTGCGGCAACATATATTGCGACAAAAATGCATGTAGGGGAGGGATTTTTGGTGTACTATTTGGCCAAACACTTGGTGGGAACATTGCCGGTATAAACCAGGGAAATGCACCTGTGGGCGGTGCTGCTTGTGTACCCGCACCAACAGCGTCCGACGAACACCATCCACCTGCAATTAGAAAAAATGGAAAAACATTTTTTTTTTTTATTTCAATTTTTGAGAAAAAGAATCTCTATCAATGTGCTCTCTCAATATATTATGAAATATGAAGTTAAATATCAATATCAAATATTAAATTAAAATTTGTTATCAATATGAGAGTGTTAATAATTCTGAATCGAAGGGAAGGCGCAGGCGCGAGCACTGGAGAGGGGCAATGAGTGTGAGAGAGAAATTCAGGGATTTCTCTCTCACACTCATTGCCCCTCTCCAGTGCTTGCGCCTGCGCCTAATAATCAAGGAGCGTAAAGTAGCGTTTTTAGTTTATTAACCCGAAAGCTAAACGAAAAATAAGAACAAAAAATAGAGTTTCTAGTTTATTAATCCAAAAACTAAAAGAAAAAAACAAAAAGTCCTCAAGGACTGCGGATTGTGTAAATAAATAAATAATTAAAAAGAAAATAAGGCAAAAAAATACAGAAGAGAAAAATAATACAATAATAAATAATAAAAGAAATTAACATAAAAAGACTCCAGTAAATTAATTATTAAAAGACGTAAATTAGCAAACAAATAAATACAGCGCTTGATACAAACAGACTTCGCACTCGTTAATTAATTTTTAAAAGAAGTAGCAAAAAGTATCTTTCAAACAAAAAAAAAATAGTTAAAAAGTTGCTATCAAAAAATTAAACTTGACGACAAAAAAACTCGTTTTAGACACTTTACAAAACCGAAAAAAATTCCATTTTATATTTTTTATTTTCCTGGCTTTTTCCTAATTTTCATCAAAAATATTCACTTCTTTCATATCCTGATAATAAATTAAATTCCTGCAAATAATTTTATAATTCACGAAAGAATTTAAATATTTATAAAAATAATTTAATTCTTGCAAAGAATTTTATAAAAATTTTTAAATAATTCATTTCTTTCGACTAATTTTATACAAATTCTAATTTAAATAATAGAATTCCTGAGAAATTTTTATTACTCATGAAAGGAATTGAATTATTACGAAGATTTATACAAAAAAAAAATTGTTTAAATAATTAAATTCTTTTTGGAAATTTTATTAAAATAGTAGATATTAAAAATCATTGAATTGCGAAAAGTTTTTAAAAATAATTAAATTTTACAAAGAATTCTATTAAAATTGTTGACAATAATTAAATGTCTGTGTGGTGTTTCATTAAATTTTTTTTGAAAATAATTGAATTCCTAAGAAGCATTTTATTATTTATGAAAATAATTGAATTCTTGCAAACGATTTTATTAGACATTTTTAACAAAATTGAATTTACAAGAAAATTTGTTTTACTTTGAAAAATAATTGAATTCTTGTGACGAATATTGTGAATAATTTTTCTATTTATCGACATAACTGAAAAAATTGATTTATTTCAAAAAAATTTAATTAAAATTGTATTTAAAATAAATTATTTCTTTTGAACAATTTTATTAAAATATTTGAAAATATTTGAAAATAATTGAATTTCCGTGGAAAATTCTAATATTTTTGTAAATAATTGATTTTTTCCAGGAATTGAAATTAAATTTTTAAGAATAATTACATTTTTTTTAAAATTCCTGTAAAATTGTATTAGAAATAATTGAAATCCTGCAATGAATTTTATGATTTATAAAAATAATTGAATAGTTGCTAAGAATGTTATCCAAATTTTCAAAAATAATTAAATTCCTGGGAATAATTTTATTATTTATGAAAATAATTGAATTATTGAGAATGATTTTATTAGAATTTTTTAGAATAATTGATTTTCTGTGAAAAATTTTGTTATTTATGAAAATAATTGAATTATGCAAAGAATTTTATTAAAATGCATAAAAATAATTGAATTTTCGGGAACAATTTTGTTATTTATCGACATAATTGAATTCTTACGAAGAATTATTTATGTAAATAATTGAATTCTTGGGAAGAATTTTATTAAAATTTAAAAGAATAATTGAATTTTTGCAAAGAAATTTAATTTAAATATAATTTAAATAGTAAATGTTTTTTTCAAACAATTTTATTAAAATAGTACAAAATAATTGAATTCCTGTAAAAAATTCTAATATTTTTGTAAATAATTGAATTCTTCTACAGAATTTTAAACAAATATTTTTTTAAATAATTGATTTTTTCGAGGAATTGAAATTAAATTGAAATTAAATTTTTGAATAATTACATTTTTTAAGTAATTCCTGTAAAATTGTATAAAAGATAATTGAAATCCTGCGATGAATTTTATTATTTATGAAAATAATTGAATAGTTGCTAAGAATTTTATTATTTTTAAAAATAAATAAATTATTGCGAAAAATTTTATTAAAATGTTTAAAAAGAATTGAATTTCTGTGAAAAATTTTGTTATTTTTGAAAATAATTGAATTCTTCACAAGAATTTTATAAGCATTGTTTTAAATAATTAATTTTTTTGAGATATAATAAATATTATGACAATTTTATTTAAAATAATTGAATTTTTCGATTAATTAATTTAAAATAGTATTGAAAATAATTGAAATTCTTCGAAGAATTTTATTATTTATCAAAATAATTGAATTCTTCGAAGAATTTTTTAAAAAATTGAATTTCTATGAAAAATGTTGTTATTGTAGTAAAAGTATTTTAATTATTGTGAAGAATTGCATAAAAATGTTGTTAAATAATTGATTTTTTCGAAATTTTTTTATTATTGAAAATAATTGAATTTTGGTTGAATTTTATTAATTTTTTTTAAATAATTGAATTTTTTTGCAAAATTTTGTTATAATACGAGATATTGAAAATAATTGAATTCATTTGCGATATGAAAATACTAGATATGAAAATAATTGAATTTCGAATATTTTTTGAAAATAATTGAATCGTTTTAAAGAATTTGTTTATAATTTTTGAGAATAGTTTTTTGATTTCTAGTATTCTCAAAAAAAAAACACACAAATAGTAGTTTTTAGTGGCTGAAATCTAAAAAAAGTACCCGAATAGTAGAATAACGTAAAAAAAGTAGTAAATAGTAGGTTTCAGTAGATGTGCGCAAAGCCTGAACTCCAGTAAATTAATAATTAAAAGACGTAAATTAGCAAACAAAATAAAAACAGCGCTTGATACAAAAATAAATAAATACAAATAAATAAACAAATTAATAGAAAAAAACGCCAATAAATAAATAATAAAACTAATACAGTAAATACAATAAAAAACGAATGATCGTTTAATCCAAAATTAAACAAAATTAGGTAAGAAATTTCAGTGAATAACATAGAATAAACGTGTCACTGTTAATGATCCGTTAATGTTTGATTCTCACAAATAAAATTGCTCATAAAACACACATAAAATAAATTCTTAATTATAATTCCAACTAAATTTCCTGCCCCTCCCAAAAAAAAAAACTTATCAGCCTGATGTCAATAACGATAGAAAAATAAAAACACAGGCAATTATTATTGTTCCTTATTTTTTTTTAATTTGTTGACACTAATCTGAAATTCGTTATCAAAAAATAAAGAAAAAGATGAAGAGTAATGAATAAAATATAATTTCGACATATGTTATAATTTTCCGTTTTTTTTGTTTGTTCGACACCCGCACACACCTCACGCGTTAAAAACATTAATGAAAAATGTATTTTAGTTCCATCCCTCTCTTCATTGGTTGTATTATATATGTGTACATGTGTGCTGTGTGTATATATATCGTAGATCAGATTCTCCCGAGCGATGTTTGCAGCGACAGTGAAATTAGACATAATTGTCGCAGATTGCATCTACCCTTCGGTAACTGTTCTTGTTGGACGAGTCGAGGCAAACGCCACAGGGCAAATGCGTGTCCCTTATTGTATGGAGTATATACCTTTATAGCTTGTGTGTAACATTCAATGATACCTAGGTGTGTATATATATATATATGTATTCGTGTGGATAGAGGGGAGAGAGGGCTATTGCTACTAATTGTTGCTGGATCGTTAATTACTCACTACCTTGTTCCACGTGCATGAAGTTACTGTCTCTGCCAAGTGCTTTTTCTCTTTTGCGCCATTTCGCTCGTCTATTTTGAAACCAGACCTGTAACCATAAACATATTTTTCTTCCATTACACATCCGATATGCCAACGTTGTATATAATTAGGAAAATTGAAAAAAAGAAACATTTCGTTCTTTACTCAAAAAAATTTACTTCTTTACAATTTTTCATTTTTAAAATTTTTGTACGTATTATAATTAGTATAGGGTAGGATTGCCACATGTCAGGGAATTGAGAAAAAAATTCAGAGATTTTTATTAAAATTACTGGAAGAAATTAAATTTTTAGAATTCATAAGAAAATTCTGAATTTTGTTGTCTTTTTTGTTTGCCTCATAAACTATGAAATTACCACGAATTCTAATTCGTGCGGTAATTTCATAGTTTATGAGACGAACAGAAAAGACAATAAAATTCAGAATTTCATAATTTATGAGGCAAACAAAAAAGAAAACAAAATTCAGAATTTTCTTATGAATTTTAAAAATTTAATTAGAATACGAAAACATCAATTTTTTCTATTTCTGACTAATTTAATTATTGAAAAAAATTTTTGATACAATTTTACAAGAACATATTTTCATCGCAGAATTTCAAAAATATTTTGAATACAATTTTAAATAAATTCCTTGAAAAATTTATTTATTTATTTATTTATTTATTTAAGATTCTTATACGGGCAGAGCCCTTAATACAAAAAACGGTTATAAAAATAAGTAAGTACTGTCGCAAATTAATTTGTCAATAAGATAAAAATACAAATATTCTTAAAAATTTTATTAAAACATAACGAAAGAATTCAATTTTAAGAGACATTCAGTTTATTCAATAAAATAATAAAATTCCTTGCAATAATACAATTATTTTCATAAATAAATTTTAATTCATCGCAGAAAATCAATTATTAACAAAAATTTGTAAGTAATTCTGGAAAAAGAATTCAATTATCTTTATAAACAATAGAATTCTTCTCATAAAATCAATTATTTTAAGGAATTTAAAAAAAATTCTTTTCCAAAATTCAATTATTTTGATAAATATAAAAATTCATTACAAGAATTTAATTTTTTTGACAAATTTAATTAAAATTCTTGACAAAATTTCAATTATTTAAAAAAATTTAATAAAATTCTTCACATGCATTCAATTATTTCCATAAATTATTTGAATTCTTTTCCAAAGTTCAATTATTTTGATAAATATCAAAATTTATCACAAGAATTCAATTTTTTTTGAAAAATTATGTTAAAATTCTTCAAAAATTTTTCAATTATTTTCTAAAATTGTGTTAAAATTCTTTAACATAATAAATTTCAGTAAAATTTTAATTAAATTCCTTAAATAAAATTATTTTTTAAAAGTTTTTAATAAAATTCTTCGTAAAAATTCTTTTCATAACATCAATTATTTTAAGGAATTTTAATAAAATTCTTTTCCAAAATTCAATTATTTTGATAAATATCAAAATTCATCACAAGAATTCAATTTTTTTGACAAATTTTATTAAAATTCTTTCCAAATTTTCAATTATTTAAACAAAATTTAATAAAATTCTTCCCATGAATTCAATTATTTTCATAAATTAATTAAATTCTTTTCCAAAATTCAATTATTTTGATAAATATCAAAATTCATCACAAGAATTCAATTTTTTTTGAAAAATTATGTTAAAATTCTTCAAAAATTTTTCAATTATTTTCAAAAATTGTGTTAAAATTCTTTAACATAATAAATTTCAGTAAAATTTTAATTAAATTCCTTGATTAAAATTATTTTTTAAAAGTTTTTAATAAAATTCTTCGTAAAAATTCTTTTCATAACATCAATTATTTTAAGGAATTTTAATAAAATTCTTTTCCAAAATTCAATTATTTTGATAAATATCAAAATTCATTACAAGAATTTAATTTTTTTGACAAATTTAATTAAAATTCTTGACAAAATTTCAATTATTTAAAAAAATTTAATAAAATTCTTCACATGCATTCAATTATTTCCATAAATTATTTAAATTCTTTTCCAAAATTCAATTATTTTTTAAAATTTTAATAAAATTCTTCTAAAAGTTTTTAATTATTTTCAAAAATTGTTATAAAATTCTTTAATATAATAAATTTCAGTAAAATTTTAATTGAATTCCTTAAAAGAAATTAATTATTTTCAAAAGTTGTTAATAAAATTCTTCGTAAAAAAAAATGTTAAAAACATTTAATTATTGACAAAATTATTCATTTTTGTATTTAAATAATTGAATTCTCCTAGAATTTTCTAATAAAAATTGAATTAAAATTTAAAATTTAATTTAAAATTTTAACTAACAATTCTGTAGAATTAATTTTTTTGAAAAAGTTTAATTGAATTTTTTTGTTGAAATTATTTCCAGTTTTTATTTTCTAATATACATTTAATTGAAAAATTTACACCTACTCGAAATTTCGCAAAATTGATTTGAAACTTCTCAAAGAACTTTCTCAAAAATTATTAAAAATAATTGATTTAAAGAAGTGTTAGAAATTCTAAAAAAATTGAATTTAATTAAATTATTTTCTTAAATAATAAAACAATTGAAGATTTTCCACATAATTGATGTGATTTCGTAAAATTGAATTGTAAATTTAACATTTAAATCAATTAAATGAATTTAGATGGATAGAAATTTAAGAACAGAAAATAGAAAAATAAATGAAATAAGAAAAAATAAAATAAAAATAAACAAAATAAAAAGAAATAAAATAATAATATATGGAGTGTATAACTCCTTCTTCATTTTAAGCCAAAGTATAAAATAAAAATAAAATAATAAATAAAATAATTTTTGAATTTTAGTTTAAAATTAAAAAATTCATCATTAAGTACAAGTACAATATTAACGTTAAGTTTATTAAAAAAATTTTTTCGCGAGGTAAATTTATAGAGAAGAAATTCTATTACATTATAGAGACACACGTAAGCGAAATCAAGGATAATGTTCAGTGTGAGGGGGGAGGGGAAAAGAGTATATAGTAACTCATTCTACACAACTCTCGGGCGCTTCTATCAGCGAGTCACCTAACAAAAGCTTGCTCTCGAGGCTGATTAAGCTAATTGTTAACAATTATCCTGATTTCCTCTGGAGCCTGAGTGGCAGCAACCCCTGTGCAACATCCCCCTGAACAACTCTCTGGGTCCCGTTTATAGCCATATAAATGCTTTCGCTTTCCAGTTGAGTTGTTCCTGGTTTTTGGTGCTCAATCGTCAATTCCCACCCCCTCAGCTCAGCACACATTTTACATTATCAGATCTATTGTCCATTAAAGGAATTCATTACCTTTCATTTTGCGAATTATATTTGCAAGTAAGAACCATGACACCAAAAAGTCAAAAGAACAAGAATAATATTTGGAAATTTTTTTTTCCAACACTTGATATAATTTTTTTTTAATCAATTTCGAAAATTATTATAATAGTGTAAGTTATCAAGTTTCTTTAGTTCTTCGTAAGGTTTACACTGTCCCAGATATCGAGGTTTTTCGCTAATGCCAAAAAGTGATTACTTGTCGAGTTTTTTTCAGTTCTTTGTAAACTTTCAACTGTCCCAGTTATCGAGGTTTCTGTGTAATGCAAAAGAGTAATTAATTGTCTAGTTTTTTCAGTTGTTTGTAAACTTTAAAGTGTCCCAGTTATGAAAGTTTTTGTATAACACACAATAGTAACTTCTTTTTGAGTTCTTTCATTTCCTCCTACAGCTTGAACTATCCCAGTTATCATACTTATTGTGTTATGTAAAAAAGTGATTATTTATAAAGTTTTCTCAGTTCTTTGTGAACTTTAAAGTGTCCCAGTAATCGAGGTTTTTGTATGATACACATAAGTAACTTCTTATCGAGTTTTTTTTGGTTTTTTCTAAAGTTTGTTCTGTCCCAGTTATCATAAATATTGTGTAATATACAAAAGTGATTATTTATCGAATTTTTTCTGTTCTTTGTAAACTTTAAAGTGTCCCAGTTATGAAAGTTTTTGTATAATACACAAGAGTCACTTCTTATCGAGTTTTTTTTTGGTTCTTTCTAAAGTTTAAACTGTCTCAATTAACAAAGATTTTGTGTAATACACAAAAGATATTATTTATCAAGTTTTTTCAGTTCTTTGTAAACTTTAAAGTGTCCCAGTTATGAAAGTTTTTGTATAACACACAATAGTAACTTCTATTTGAGTTCTTTCATTTCCTCCTACAGCTTGAACTGTCCCAGTTATCAAGAATCTTGTAAAATACACAACAGTAATTACTTATCGAGTTTTTTCAGTTATTTGTGAACTTTAAAGTATCGACGACACCAAAAAGTCAAAAGAACAAGAATAATATTTGGAAATTTGCAAAAACTTTGATAATATAATTATTACGTTTAGAGAAGTAATTTTTGAAATTAATTTGGGCAAATAATTTTGTAAAATAATTTTTGAAAACAATTTGGGAAAATATATAATTCAAAGAGAGTGAAATTTTCTTGTATAAAAGGAGAGGATGAAAATGACACATTTAACGAGAGAGAGAGAGAAAGAGGATATATTATACAGAGAAAATATAAAGCTGCTGTCTAGATACTATATTCCATTGACTCAACGCACTAGTGAGATTTAATTGCGTAATTGCTTTTAATTATTTAATCGTTTCTGAATGCTTCTTCTCATGTTGAAGGATTCGTAAATCACCCTCACAATTTTAACGATGAGAGTTGAACTGCATTAGAAATTCAATCAGGCGCAGTTATTATACGCACATATAATTCGCCTGCTTCTATTTTCATTAAAAAGAATTAAGACGAAAATTTACAATGCGCAAAATGGCTATTACTGTAATTGGATTCTTAAACCTTCTGCATAATATCACTCTTCATCTCTCTCTCTCTCTACCACTATTTCTCTCTATTTACAAAATCTATTGCTAAAGTGTGTCTGTAATTATTAACCGTATTGGATGTGATTACTCATCGAACTTTTTTTTCAATTCCTTGTCCCAGTTTGCAAACTTTTTGTGTAATGCAAAATAGTAACTTCTTATTGAG